CTGATGCCCGACACCGACCTACCCATCCTAAGGAAGCAATGGAGAGGCCCTATGAATATTTCAGATATGAAGACGACTATAGGAACAGAGATGATAGAGTTTACATAGATTATAGAGACTATAGAGGCAGACCAATAAAGTGGTTTCGACCACGATTTCGACCTCGATCTTGGTCCCGGCCTCGTTCACAGTCTCCTTTCCTAGCACGCAGAAGGAGAAGATACCTCAGACGGAAATCACGCAACCAACTGTGGTCCTATCTGCGTGGTAAGGGAGAAAACATGAAGAAGTGGGATGGTGCACCCACTTCCAAACTTGAGGCCAGAGTAAGAGAATTACAACAAAAGGAAGACAACAAAAAGGTTGTCTATGTAGTTGATGCAGATGCCCTGCAATCCCTGAAACACAAAAAGATGGAGGTCCGCTTTGACAGTAACAAGAAAGCTTCTAAGAAGGCAAAGTCAAAGTCGGATGATAAATACTCTGATCAAGACCAATAGAGGGGCCCTGCCTTCTGCCAGGAGAAGGATAAGGACCAGGAAGATAATAGGGTTTACTGGACTGTGTGGGTTCGATGGCCTGGCACATCGGATCCTCAGAGATACCGGGCTTTGGTGAATACTGGTGCCCAGTGTACTTTAATGCCATCGGAGCATAAGAGTGTGGAGGCTGTTTCTATTTCTGGAGTGACCGGAGGGTCTCAAGAATTGTCAGTGGTAGAGGCCGATATGAACTTGACAGGAGACCAATGGCAAAAGCATTCCATTGTGACGGGGCCAGAAGCCCCTTGCATTCTTGGTATGGACTACCTAAAAAGAGAATACTTCAAAGACCCAAAGGGGTACCGATGGGCTTTCGGTGTAGCCACGGTGATTGAAGAGAAGTCCAAGCAATTGTCTGCCCTATCTGGCCTCTCAGAAGACCCTTCCGTTGTGGGACTACTCCGAGTCAAAGATCAGCAAGTGCCTATAGCCACTGTAACTGTACACAGGCGACAGCATAGGACAAACCGAGATGCTGTAATCCCCATTCACAAGATGATCAGGAAGTTAAAGAGTCAAGGGGTGGTCAGCAAAACACACTCACCCTTCAACAGCCCTATCTGGCCTGTATGTAAATCTGATGGAGAATGGAGACTGACAGTGGACTATCGTGGCTTGAATGAAGTCACGCCACCATTGATTGCTGCTGTACCAGACATGTTGGAGCTCCAGTACGAGCTGGAGTCCAAGACAGCAAAGTGGTACGCCACTATTGATATTGCTAATGCGTTTTTCTCCATCCCCTTGGCAGCAGAGTGCAGGCCACAGTTTGCTTTCACCTGGAGGGGTGTGCAGTACACCTGGAATCGACTGCCCCAGGGGTGGAAGCACAGTCCAACCATTTGCCATGGACTGATCCAGGCCACCCTAGAGAAGGGCAAGGCCCCAGAGCACCTGCAGTACATCGATGACATCATCGTATGGGGAGACACAGCAGAAGAAGTTTTTGGAAAAGGACAAAAGATCATCCAGATTCTCCTTGAGGCTGGTTTTGCCATCAAGAGAAATAAAGTCAAAGGACCTGCCAGAGAGATTCAGTTCCTAGGAGTGAAATGGCAAGATGGACGTCGTCAGATTCCAACAGACGTCATCAATAAGATCATAGCAATGGCTCCACCGACAAACAAGAAAAAAACCCAAGCTTTTCTGAGAGCCATAGGCTTCTGGAGGATGCACATTCCCGAGTACAGCCAAATTGTGAGCCCTCTTTACTTTGTGACCCGTAAAAAGAACAACTTCCAATGGGGTCCTGAACAACAACAGGCTTTCAGGCAAATCAAGCAAGAGATTGCCCATGCTGTGGCTCTTGGGCCAGTCAGGACGGGACCAGATGTAAAGAATGTACTTTACAGCTGGAGATAAAGGTCCCTCCTAGAGCCTCTGGCAAAAAGTGCCTGGTGAGACGCGAGGGCGACCACTTGGTTTCTGGAGCCGAAGCTACAGAGGATCTGAAGCCAATTACACCCCTATGGAAAAAGAAATCTTAGCGGCATATGAAAGCATACGAGCAGCCTCAGAAGTGATTAGCACCGAAACACAGCTCTTCCTGGCACCCCGATTACCAGTGCTGAGCTGGATGTTCAAGGATAAGGTGCCCTCTACGCATCATGCCACCGATGCCACGTGAAGCAAGTGGATGGCCTTGATTACGCAACGTGTCCGAATGGGAAACTTGAATCACCCTGGAATTTTGGAAATTATAACCAATTAGCCTGAAGGTGGGAACTTCAGTCTAACAGATGAAGAAGAAGAAGAGCCAGTGAGTCGAGCTGAAGAAGCTCTGCCATATAATCAGCTGCCAGATGAAGAGACACGCTATGCCCTTTTCACTGACGGTTCTTGCCGCATTGTAGGAAGGAGCCGGAAGTGAAAAGCAGCTGTGTGGAGTCCCACCCGAAGGGTGGCGGAAGCCACTGAAGGTAAAGGCGAATCGAGTCAGTTTGCAGAACTCAAAGCTGTCCAATTGGCCCTGGACATTGCAGAAAGAGAAGGATGGCCAAAGCTCTACCTATACACCGATTCGTGGATGATAGCCAATGCCCTATGGGGATGGCTAGACAGGTGGAAGAAAATGAATTGGAGACGTAGAGGAAAACCCATCTGGACTGCCGATTTGTGGAAAGACATTGCTGCCAGAGCAAAGAAACTGAATGTGAGAGTCCGCCACGTAGATGCCCATGTGCCCAAGGATCGAGATAATGAAGAACATGCTCATAACAGACAGGCAGACCGCGCTGCACAAGTCGAAGTGTCACAAGTAAACCTAGACTGGCAGCAAAAGGGAGAATTATTCCTAGCTCGATGGGCCCATGATGCTTCAGGCCATCAGGGCCGAGATGCCACCTATAGATGAGCACGAGACTGAGGGGTGGATATAACCATGGACACTATCTCCCAGGTTATTCATGACTGTGAAACCTGTGCTGCCATTAAACAGGCCAAAAGGTTGAAGCCCCTATGGTATGGTGGACGCTGGGACAAGTATAGATACGGAGAAGCATGGCAGGTCGATTATATCACATTGCCACAAACCCGCCAAGGTAAACACTATGTGCTTACCATGGTGGAAGCGACTACTGGATGGTTAGAAACATATTCGGTACCACGTGCAACAGCCCGAAATACCATTCTAGGTCTTGAAAAGCAGGTCCTGTGGAGACATAGCACTCCAGACCGAATTGAGTCAGACAACGGAACTCATTTCAAGAATAATCTGGTGGCCACTTGGGCACGGGAGCATGGTATTGAATAGGTATATCACATTCCATATCATGCACCCGCTGCTGGGAAAGTTGAAAGGTGTAATGGACTGTTAAAAACAACTCTGAAGGCACTAGGTGAGAGAACTTTCAAGAACTGGGACAAGCACTTAGCCAAGGCCACCTGGCTGGTTAACACTAGAGGCTCTGTCAATCGAGCTGGTCCTGCCCAAGCAGAATCCCTGCCCACTGTAGATGGAGACAAAATTCCAGTGATCCATCTAAGAGGTATGTTAGGGAAGGCTATTTGGATTACTCCTTCCTCAGACCAAGACAAACCCATTCGTGGGATTGTTTTCGCTCAAGGGCCCGGAAATACCTGGTGGGTAATGAGAAAGGATGGAGAGATCCACTGTGTGCCCCAAGGAAATTTAACCTTGGAGAAAAACTAATCATGTACTTTGAGTTGTGTTTTGCAGGAAACCAGTCACCAGATGAGAAAGGCCTGAACAATTGATGCCGGTATCCAGTAATAAACCAGCCCAGACCAGAGGACAAACCCTGAAAACCAGAACTGTGATTGTGACCTAAGGGCCAAGAATGAGAACCAAGCCAATCCTAATGTTGGCGCTGATTCTTCTACAACAAGATGAATGCTCTAAAGAATGAACAAGGACTATATATAAATATGTATATGTGTACAGATGCGCGGAATATAAGTGAACGCAAAATATAGGTGTTACGTAAAAATAGTATGGAATAAGGGGTGGAGAATGTGATGGTTTTAGTCTAGGTCTTCCTGGTGACCAGTTTGTAACCAAGGAAGTAGCCAAGTACCCAGTATTCCATACAATTTTTACGTAAACCAGAGTACAAATAAGTCGGAGATTAGAGACCTCGCTCTCTGCTCTTCCGGCGAGGTTTGGGAACAGTGGGTCCCTGCGTTGGTCTCGCTTATCTAAGGCTGAGGCCTGCAGAGTCCACCGTCCTACCACGTGGAGGTTTGGAGAGCGCTGACTGTGACTGCCGATCCTGCTGTTCTAAAGGACGTGGTGAGATCTGTTTTGTTAGTTATTAGTATAGTTTGATCTAGTATACCTGTTCGGTGTCCCTTTTGTTCCCTTTTGTCCCCTTTTTTCCCTTTCCCTATCCCTGCGGGGGGTGGACCCCCTTTTACTGTGTATATAGCATCTTAACTGTATATAACTGTAATTTACGTAAATATAGATATATTTTTACATAAACAGCTTGACTTTGGGTTCTTTAATTTTTATAGTTTCTTGTCCTTTAACCAAAGGGA